AATGTAGGCCTTTTCCCTTTTCCATGCTTGCACATTGAAATTTGCCAGATTGGTTTGCTGGGCCTATGTTGCCTTTAAGACCGTATTGCAGCCCAGGAATTAAAATTAACCCCATCATGATATACCATTTGAAAAAAATAGACAACCAAGGGTATTCAAAATTGGGTATGTCCAGTCTTTTGTTGTAGCCACTTAGTCACAAACGCTTTCCAAATTTAGTGTTCACGAGTATAACAATACACCCCCATGTGCAGGTTTTATGGTGTTTTGGAAAGTTACATGGCCAATATAGATAAAACGAAAAAAAGAAAAAATCTCAGGCACTCACTGTGATTGCAACCAGGCAGGTTTATTTGCAACGTTTTTTGCTGACCCATGCTCAGTAGCACCCTGGATAATTATATTGTGGCTGAGTGCGACCCTATCCTTTTTTTCATTAAATTGTCAATATAGGGCTTGCCCAATTCAGTTTGCCAGATTGGTTTGCTGGGTCTATGTTGCCTTTTGAGACCATATGGTAGCCCATGAATGTGAATTAATCCCATCATGGCATACCATTTTCAAATGTAGAAAACCTAGGGTATTCAAAATGGGGTATTTCCAGTCTTTTGTAGTAGCCACTAAGTCACAAACGCTGGCCAAAGTTAGCATTTTTATTTGTTTTTTGCATTTTTTTAAACGTCATGATAAGTTTAACTTTTTTAAACACTCATATTTGTGTTCAGCGAAGTCACCTGAGTATAACAATACCCCCCCATGTAAAGGTTTTATGGTTTTAAGGTTTTGGAAAGTTACATGGTTAAATATAGGGCTTGCCAATTACAGTCTCTGGACCGTCTGCCTGGGTTGTCAGACAGGTACCTCAAATTATAATTAATAAAATAAAATAATTATATAGTTAATAGTTAAATATATATATATATATATAGAATGTGGGTTGCTGGATATAAGTGTTGTAGACGGAGGATTTCCATCTGCCCATTCTTTTAATGATATGGACTGGTGTGTTCGTACTGAAGGCTGCGGAGGCTGCACCAATTCTGAAGGAGTGACCAGAAAATGAGGTGGGGTTATGTCCCAGTCTTAACAGCAATGTTCTAATGTGAAATATGAACTTGGAGGGGGTAAGTGAGTGTCCGTGAAAAAGTAGTAAGGGAGAGTTAGCTGGGAAGCTGTTGCGTGTGGATAGAAATGAATCGAGTATTTTTACGGGACACCAGAGGTTATCTGCTGGAAAGAGAGAAATTGTAGTAGGATAGTTTGTGTGGTTAGTTTTAGATGTATGTAATGACATAACATAATGGTCAACGTGTTTGACCATGTCTGATCATTTTAAACTTGTGCTGATATCAAATTGACAGATCACAGTGAACTCTCGGGGTCTAAGGAAGCCGTAGAAGGCGATGTAAATAGCTACGTTGATGATAGAGTTAGCCTGGGTGTTTAATGGGTTTGTGTCCAATAGATCAGAGATATTCCTGAATAGGGATCACTCTATGAGTAGTCTGTAGGTATTAGGAGGTCAATCTATTTTGTTGATACATTTAAGAATAGTTTTAATGGGGTATGAAGAAAGAAAAGGTGGGTGTTTGGGAAAGGTAATGAGGATGTGGTGCTGTATACCTGTAAGATATAATTTGATAGTGCTATGTGCTAATTTGAGGTGTAAGTGACAAAAAAAGGCATTGTCTCGATAGAGTAATTATCCAAAACATGAAAGTCCCCACCAAATTTGCAGAAAACAGTCAATGCCCTATGGTATGCTGTCTTAGTGTTGGCTGACAGGGCATTGCGTGAGAGTGATCGTGTGTGGTCCAATAATCCCGTTATTCCATGACTAGCTCCAGAAATTTTGGTATTCAGGATGGGAGCTCGTTGGCAGAGGGATGCACCTGTAGAATGCCTGAAAAATTAGACCAGGACAAAGCATCAGCTGCCATATTTTGAATGCCCGGATTGTGTTCGCACCCCAAGAAGAATTGTAGTTTGGCGACCAGCTACGTCAACTTTCATACCAAACACTTAACTGCCTTACCAGCCCAGACGTGACCCCAAGTATGAGCAGCTGCTACAATGGGGTAGATATCACAAAGGGCTGAAGTTTCCCTGAAAGCCGGTAAGGTAAGTGTTTCTTGAGGCCAAACATCCCTAAACCAGTGGTTACCAAAAATTGCAGGCTGCTGCATCAGTCCAAATTATGGGGGAGTAGTCGGTCAGTGGGGGGATGAACATGGAGATGCCATTTCACTCTGCCATGAAGTGCTTCCACATACATAAATCATATACGGCTGTGGAATTTAAGACTCTGGTACCATTGTCAGGCACGCCGGGCAAAAGGCAGAGTAACCTGGAGATAAAAGATCTCCACTGTGGAATGTAAAGACTGGAGATCCCTCCTTGTACCAGAACCTTTTTGTAGGAACTGGTCCAGTTCTTGTCTAATGCGTATCAGTTTCACATCAGGGAGACATGCCTGCATGGACACCGAGTCTAGTGAGATACCCAGGAATACCAACTGTGTTGTGGGGCCTATTGTTTTATCTGGGGACAATGGAACACAAAGTGTTGAAAACAGTGCTGTGGTGCTAAGGATGCTACGTGGTGTGAATGAACCTGCCTCGACCAGTAAGAAATCATCCAAATATTGTGTATGAACATGGGGCATTTGTACTGTGTTCAGGAGGAGCCAGCATAGAGTCTCTACAACATGTAGAACAGTTTCGGGTTGCTCCTGGAGCCGAAGGTGAGTCTTGTGGCAAAGTAATAATTATCCCTTCATTTGACGCCATGGATATGCCAGAGTGATGGATGGATAGGTAGTAATTTGAACGTGTTTGTAATATCTGTCTTACTGAGTCAGACTTGTTCCCTGGCCAGTAGAATGGCTTATATGGAATGAACCACGGTGGCGTAATGGAGAGAAAATCCTTCAGCCAGTATTAGTGAGTTTAAACTAGGATTGTGAGAAGAAGGAGGCGTGGACAAATCAATGATTAAGCGTTTTTTTATTAGAAATGTTGTTGGTACTACTCCAATAGGGTTTGTGTGTCATGTAGAAAAAGGAGGGTGCGGAAAAGGACCAATTATAAAAACTGACGTAGTCTCTTTCCATAGCAACTCGTCAACACCAGATGGGTCATTTGTAGCCGAGAGTAAATTGGGGCATTCTAGTGTGCCAGAGGGGAGTGCTACAAGCCCTATGCGAAACCTGTTGGAAAATCCTGAAATCAAAAATTGCACCAAGTGGATAAGGACCCACTGTTTAGTATTGCTAATCAGTGTTCCCTAATCCTCATTTTCAAGGATCTTGTAGTTTGACCCACATAGTGGAGGCCACATTTAGTGAGAAGATAAACTACAAAGGACGAATTACAACTAATCCTGTCATTGATAGAAAATGACTCCTCTCTCACTGAAGGTCTAAATTGGGATGCTTTGTGGCACATATATTTCTATGTGAGGCATCTCATTCTGCCACAACCTTTAAAAACTAATTTGAGTCAGCTTTAGCCAAATTCTGCACAGAAAATTCAAAAATTCTGAAAATATTGCTATATTTGCTTGGTTTGTGATAGACAGTACATATAGTTTACTACTGTAATATTTTGTACTTACTGTTCCATGTAGTTATTAATAATTTGGCTGATAGGATTTTGGTTGGCAAATATTTAACTTGTTTACATCGAATGGCTAGCCTGCTCTAATAAAATTAAAATAACTTCTTTATGACCAAATCTGCATCCACCCCTGCAACAATGCCCTTTAGTTTTACTTAGCTCTTTAAGAGGGGCAAGCAAAAACTGAGATTCAACTACACTGACCATCCAATAGCCAAGGCTATGGAAATTCCTGACCATCCAATCAAAGGCCTCGGAAGCTCCTTTTTAGATCATTTTATCTCTAGAAAATATTACCAATATGGCTTGCAAACTTTATCTACATCTTATAGAATTTACATTAAAGTCATAATCACACATGAAGTCTTCATCCTTCAGATGCAAAAGAATGCATAGCTTTATAGTAAAGAAAACATAGGAGCTACACATCCATTGAAGGACATTCCACTATTATCTTCCTTTAACAAGGAAACAGCATTAAGACATGATTACAAGTTAGCTTTTATTGATCTGGGCAGAATTATACCAGCAACAAGCAAGGTAACATATTTAACCAACTGCTTATCTATGAAAGAAATCTCAATGGGCTCAACAGACTGCACACGATAAAACATTAAGTGCAAGTGAATTATAACATACGTTGTAAAACAAGAGGCCATATTGTAGGTGTCAATTAAGAATGCAAGTTCCTGATTGCCATTTGACTTACTTACAAACTCTCTTCTGTTTTTATGTCCCCCAGAGTTTAGCTCAAAGATAGCTAAAGATAATCCATCTTAACGTGCTTAGACTTTCTCACATCTGACCAAGAAAACAGATGTACGATTTTCCCTTTTTAGGCAAGCGTCTGCAAAAATATTAATAATAAAAAAAAAATTAAATGTTCAACTCATCTTTCCCCAGCAGTACCCAGGTGTTATTGAGAAATTAAGCAAATTTGAGCACTGTGGAGGATGACATGAGCAGAAAACAGACTCGATGGCATACAACGCACCACTCACCTCTAGCAGATGCAATTTAATTGGGCTGTCAATCTCTCTGGCAAAGAGACAGATAAAACTGTCAGGTATAGACTACACTGGATGATGGCAAACCTCACTGAACCAACTGGTGTGAAATGGTAAGAAATACATTAATATGCAATTAATTCTTTTTTAAAACCCTTGCTATTTTATAACATATGTTACAGTATAATAATATTTGCATCAAATATCGCCTTTTTATTTCTGAAATTTCTTTCTCTACTCTGAATAGTTTTGAATACAATTTAAAATGGGCAGATTATAAGTCTAGTGGCAGCTTTCATTTGAATGGTTCTGAAAACACTACATTTAAGACACATTTAACCACTTAAGGACACATGACAGAAATATTCCGTCATGACTCCATTTTATTTCAGAAGTTGTGTCCTTAAAGGGTTAAAATATCTATTCTTTGATGTAACCCCTTAAGGACCAAACTTCTGAAATAAAAGGAAATCATGACATGTCACACATGTCATGTGTCCTTAAGGGGTTAAAGTTAGTAGTTGGGTGCCATTTAATATGATGTATTATTGAGGTCCTGCAGTTGGTATTATTTAGAAATTATTAAATATTTCAAATCATTTGGAAAATAACTGTATTTTGCACATGAAGGAAGACAAATTATCTTCCTTTTGATTGGATTTGTAGTTAATGAGTGTATCTGATTAATCTAAATGCTTTATGAGTGATTAATATGTCTTTCTCCTATTGCTCTATCATGTGAGGACTGCCAATAGATAAACAATTAGAATAATGTAGAATATGGTTAATGCCATGATCCCTTGACATTATCATGAAAACACTATATCATTAACTATGTGAATCATATATTTAAACAATGTTAAGCCTTATTTTCTTATGATAAAGGAATGGATATCCAGTCATATAAACCACAATCATGAAACTCGATAGTTAATTTCTTGATAGCACCCATGCACACTTCCTGAACTTATTTATTCATAATGGAATTTATTAAGCACCAGAATTTTCTGCAGTGTAGTACAACTAGGGGAAAAAGTACAATACACAGACCAATACAAAATATAAAGAGGGCCGTGCCCGTGAGCTGAGATCTAGCCATTGAAGCTCTTTTATAGTGGTTAGTTAGATAGCCAATGAGCTAACACTCTAAAGGATGTATTGGGGATTTGAGACAAGAGGTAGCAGGGGGAATTTGGAAGTCATGGCCAATTAACGTTCATGGAGAGTTGCAGCTATTGGTAAAATCTTAATGTAATTAGGAGGTAATTAAGTAAGATCTCAAACAGCTGGAGGTGCATGCCATAAATTTAGTAGGAACCTGGGTGGGCAAGAGGAGGGGCAGGTATGCGAGAGGAAGGGAAGCAAGAGGATTTGTGGGTGAGTGAGAGGAAGGGTGGGTGGAAAGTGCTTAGAAAAAATAGAGAGTTCTGTTAGTGTGACGTAAGGGCCTAAGGAACAGGGATGGAGATGAAACAGTTATATGGAGGTATTTTAAAATGGATGGATAGAGGTGTTAGATAGAGCAAACATTTGTTGTATACAATTGTAAAGTTTACGAACCTAATTCTATCACGCAAAATATTAATAATTATGTGTAGGTGAAATATAGGTGGAATAAATTCAATGAAAATAACATTCGAAAACTGTTCGCACAGAGAATTACAAGGGCAAACTACAGTTATAAATAGTTTCAATGCTTTCCTACCTGTGTATTTTTGGTCAAAATAAAGTCATAATGGATTTTATTGGTACTACCTTCCCCATTCTTAAATTAACGATCAGGGTTTCATTTAATAAACCAATGGGAGCAGGAACAGTGTTCCCAAGTACACATAAGTACATAAGTGTGAACTATCAAAATTGAAAAACTTGTATAAAACACAATGTTGCATATGACTGTCCCCTTGTGTTAGAAAAAATTCCAATCCTTTCAAACTGCATCATTCATAATGAGTATGTTTGGCAGACTGGACAGTAAATGGAGCTGTAGCAAATCATTATAGAGGTTATAAAACAAAATACAGTTTTTTTTTCTAGAAACAGAAGAAAAGTTGAAACAAGAACAATATGTGATTTGAACTGTCAAAACTAAATAATGGAAACGTACAGCTGTGGAACGTTGTGCGAGAAATGTTTCTCTTTAGAGAAGAGATGACATGCAGGATGCATTGCTCAAAAAAGGACTGTTGATAACCCTAAAAGAATGAGGCAAAGAGAACAGATAAGGAAAAGACACTCAACAAAAAGGATTACTCATTGAGCATATGTCAGTGGACAGAAGTAATTTCACTTGTGTGTCTTTCAATACAGTGAATAATTATCTAGCAGAAAGTCCAATTGTTATATTTGTTCCTGTATCTGGCATTCTGTAATTGACTAGCACCTATTATATTATCATTTGAGGACATCACTGAACTGGGCACAAATAATCATAATCCTGACTTGTAATATACTGACCTTGGTTCGTTCTCATTTTTAAATCACCTTCTGCTGACACTAAACCTTCTCTAGTTTACATTTCATCTGATTCCCGTCCCTGGTGATTATATACTATTTTTGCCACTGGCATTTTTCATATTAAGAATGTGTATTCAGCTGCACTTATATGTTTAATCTAGACTGCTCAGATACCTCTAAAAGTGGTAAACTAAGTACTATAACCACTACAGCCCATTATAGGGAACATGGTACAAAGATATTGTGAGTGCCATGCCATATGATTTTGTCAAATTATTTTCAAGTAGCATAATAAAAATAATACGATTCCTGGTGCTCCTTTGCATTTCACTGGGCTAATTCGAACGTTGACATCTTTATTACTCCATCTAACTTTGAGCAACAATGAAAGACTGAGACTTCATGGACAATCTGTCTACATTTCTCTCAGACTACCATTGACTTTACATAGAAGATCACTTCCTCATTAACTAAATGGCAATTAAGAGCCCGAGCTGTAGGGGCCAAAAAATACATGTTTTTGTCAAAATACTTAAAGATAGTCTGGGGGCAAGGTAAAATAAAATCTGGGCATGTTTTATATATTACCACATGTCCTTTCAAGGTTTGTACACAAGTTTCACAGGATTCATCGATGCCATGCTATAGGTATTGTATGAAGTTATGGTATGCACTGTGTGATCACTGAGATTTAAGCTTACATGCTTACACCTTATAATATCCATTGATATCTATTAAAATTCAGTCACATTTTTTGTTATGTATATTTCTCTTACATTATGAGCAAAAGATGAGCAATATATGCTTGTAATGTTCACAGAAGGAAAAAGCTTATATCCTGGACCTCATCTTGGATGACATTGGGGATGAGCTCCGTCCTCACATTTTGCTGTGAGCAAAATACATGCATTTATTACGCAAAATACATTGTTAATAAAAATATCTAATATTGCAATATTACACGTTTTAGCAAAATCCATGTATTTCTCATGGTTAAAGCACAGACATTGTGCTCAAGAAAGTAAATCTTAATTGTCTGTATTTTACATAAATAATTAGCAAACCTAAATGCCGAACAATATCTGTGATTCTGCCTCATGGAATATAAAAATCATCAGAAATTCACATTAAATAGAAACTGCTCCCTAAATCGAGCTGTAGCAATTATTATTTCTTTGCAGATGGCGTGGAGGTTGAGCTAATATTCTTAAATAAAATATAAATGTATCAATAAATCTGATGGTAATTTCCCTAGGGCAACACACAGAAGCAATGTCATGCTCTATGAAGTGCCACCAGGTCGTTTTTGCATGACAGGTGTGCTGTAATATTTTGTAGTCGCTTTCTGATGCCACAATGAATGTATGCAGGTTACATATAAATCAGTGCAATTTACGGCGAGGATCAATTATAGATGCAAGGTTTATAGTTCAAAATTATTGACCAGAAAGAAAACAGCACAGATTGCAGTAATTACATAGAAGCTGTATTGTGAAGGTTATTCGGGAGAAAATGACAAATGTATTTGATAGATCTGTCTGATTTGATAGATTCTTTGCTAATTTTACCAGACTTTGTATAGTTATATGGGTTATATGTGTATTTCAGAAGGTAGGAAGGGAAATGTATAAAATACATAAAATACAACCTTTAATTAGTTGCTATATAAAAAAAAAAAAAAAAATCTCTGAATCAGTAAAAATATAAATCAATTATGTTTATATATATATATCTTTATTTCTGTTTCCTATCACCCCCTGATGAGAATAGCAAAAACGCGTTGGGGTACAGCTTGGATTGAGCTTAGCGTGATTCTACAAGATTATAATAGAGTCAAGATCTTCTGTTCTCCTTTTATAGTTTTGCTTAAGATCTGTCTATTTCCTTTATTTTATATAGGGGCTTTCCCTTCTATCCTAGTCTGACAATATCATTATCCCTTTGATGCTTCGTTAATTTTTTTAAATATTCAAAGCTACTCACTTAGCAAGTTTTTGTGATTTGAATCTTATTTTGATGTTTGGCTTACTATCTTGAGGGGTTATCTCCCAAATATATCCCCAAATGCAACTGGGATCTTTAATATATTGTTTTTGATGTGCTTTACTATGCACTTGTTAGATGTGAACCCAGCCATGGTAGCACTGATATACTGATCAGCCACAACATTAAAGCCACCTGCCTAATATTGTGTAGGTCCCCCTTTTGCTGCCAAAAAAGCTCTAAAGCTTGGAGGCATGGACTCCACAAAACCTCCGAAAGTGTCCTGTTGTATCTGGCACCAAGACATTATGGTTTCAGTATTGCTAAATATGTAGTGTGTTTCGTGTTTTAGGTTTCTGATAATTACACACTCTCTGCAAATATGGGAAATATGTTAAATATATTTGTTTTGGTTTTCTTTGAAAGGATATTAAATAAGTGCACACATTTTTTTGTTTGTTTTTTGTTTTCCAAATATTTGAATGATACCAATGTTTCCTAATAGCCTTTTTTCCCAGTACACACACCCAGATGCACACCGCCAGAGTGTGCAGCTCACACTCCCAGATACAGATACACACAACAATACAAACACACTAACACGTGGACACATTACCAAACACACAAACATACATAAAGCTCAATATTTTGTATAAATCTACATTCCTCTTGTGTGCCGGAAAGTGTATTTCCTGTAACAGGTTGATTGTCCACCTTTGCTTTCCTTTGCACCTAGAGTTTCTTAGAGCTCCTATTTCTATGTACCCAACAGAACTGTATAGCTTTACCGTGTCCTAGAGGTAAACACAACCAAAACAATCAGTACAATAAATTGTAAGCTTGTTTACTTACTTATCTTGTTTTTAGTGGGGGGCGGGGGTGAGGGGGAGTAACACATTTTAGCATATACATATAGTCCTGTTATAGAATGTTGTGGATTATGTTGTTGTGTAATACTAATAATCATCATAATAATAAAATAATGGTATAGACGAGGAGTAGGCAAGTTTTGGCATTCCAGATGTTGTA